ATACTATATATACTTGAGGGGTGGGATGGTGCAATACACTATATAGATCAATATAATACACTTGAGGGGATGGGCAGTGCAATAGACGAGATACACTGGAGGGGAGGTCAGGAGTCATTCACACACATATTATTCATATGATAAAGGTCATAGCTGTTGTTTATTTTTCAGTCCTGCGCAATGTGCCATCAAGTTCCAAGATGTCGGGATATGGAATATTTGCGCAAGTATACTGACCTATTATTACTAACACTAAAAATGGCAAAGGAAACGAAAATCTGCCCTCACATTGAATATCAAAAACTGCAAAGACTATTCAAAGGTAACTGCATTGCTTTTTTCATTGGGAAAGTTCTCTTTAAAGATAAAAACAAACTTTACCACTTGCATGTGATGTCAAAGCGACTTTATACGGAGAACAACAGAATCCATTGTTTTGTCCCGCCATGTTTGAGCTGCATTCTCCTAGAAAAAGCAAAGACGCTTAGGAGGACAGTCCTCCGAAGCGTCTTTGCTTTTTCTAAGCAAAAATAGAAGTATAGTTCTACTGTTTCTACTTAGACTTCTGTAGCGGAGATAAAAAAGAACGAGTACTACAACAACCATCATGCTTTGCTGCACGATATGGTGCCGTTGCACATTGCCTATTGGGTTCGATTTGACTCCAGGGCAATTTCAAAGCCTCATCTTTGACAAGGACATATAACTAGGAGGTCGCTTCTCTCTGCACTAGAGTAATAATTGCAGTAGACGCGTATAGAAAAGTTTCCACTTCACAATTGGTAGAGTGTGACGGTACCAAGCTTGAGAATCAGAAGTGTGGACAGATAGTTCCTCAGAGTTAAGGGAACTTACATAGTTTATATTAAAAAAATACAAACTCAAGTGCATTATTGTTTTTGTTGTTTTCAGGACATGTCAAATGTGATCCACTCAAACGATATTATATCTACGATGAATGTGGACATCGTTATCTGTGTARCCAAGGAATTATGTCGACAGGCACACGRATACGTAAAGAATTCACGGAAATGAGCTTTGATGAGCGCCGTCGATTTGTAGATGCTTATTACAAAGCTTCTACTGATCCTTACTACAAGGCAGAATTTGAAAAGCTTCTTAATATACATTCAGAGATACCAAGTCAATTTCTTCATCATATGCCACAAATCTTCTTCCCATGGCATAGATGGCATTTGTTGAAGATAGAAAATTTCCTGCGTCGCATCGACTGTAGAGTAACAGTACCTTTTTACCAATGGACGGCACGTGTTGACGAAAAGACTGTCTGGCGAGCGAGTAACCCCAAAGACGTATGGCATGGTGGTCCGGCAGGTCTCGGAGGAAATGGTGTCCAACCTTCATTATGCGTGCAAGATGGCAGATTCAAAAAAGGCCAGTGGTGGATGCCTATAAGTAAAGGTGGAGGCTGTTTGAAAAGAGACTTTAATTTTAAATGTGATCTTTATAACCAGACACGAACCGATGAGTTACTGAGAGGTTCGTTCCATAAATTCGAGTCCACAATAAGGGAGGAACATCATGCAGCATTTCACGACTGTATCGGTGGTAATATGCCAGACAATCGCGTGGCGTCTACCGCACCAGAGTACGTTCTCCACCACAGCTTTATGGATAAACTTTGGGACTCATTCCAAAAGCGCGGCTTGAAGTACAAGTACGCATACTACCCGTCAATCCACTTTCGCATGCCTTTTGCTGACATGCGAGGAATTCGCTTTCTTGACAATGACGATCTACCAGGAGACGTGTCCGTTGCTTATCAAGATATGAAAAGTCACAGATTTGTCAYGCACACTCCAGGGAAGGATGAAACTGTACCAGGCCCAGATCTCCCATGGGAAGATAAACCASAGCWGATAAAGAYACTAAAAAGTAAAGATAGGAATGACTTGTCACAAAAAGATACSYYCTCTCTTCCAAGCTTCTCACGGAAAGCTGCCAACGTGCTCGATCCAGATTCTAAAAGTGAAGATAAGATTGATCCTGAAATAATGAAAACTTGAATGGGAACTTGACTTCCCAGCAAACAATTCCCATTAGCACTGCCGTTACAAATCCGTTCTACATTTGAMACTATCATATAGAAAGACATCAAAGCTTTCTTGATATAAGATGCACCACTTTTCCTCCTCATTTCACATCGCAAAATGAAAATTATKATTATGACTATGCATGTGTGAAAATAGCTCTACCTTTTTCCAGTTTGAAAAGGGTGATTATCTGTTCTATGACAACAGATTCTCGTGCGTAAAGATGTTACGAAAATCAAAGTAAAGTTTAGGACGAAATAATGTCTTTATTGAAATCTTTGCGAAAGAGAGTTTGTTGTCATATTAGACAGCGGTCACCGCAGATCAATATAGGGTAAATTTCGCATGAGGTTTACAAAAAGTAGGGCACTTTCTTACGTGTGGCATCACGACGAGGCTTCGTGGCCATACCGTGATCCGTGACACGTTCGAATTCAAATTTGAAATATATTTTTCGTGGAGTTCCTGAGAAGTATCCTTACACAAAAACGTGGAGTATCTGAGAAATATCCTTACGCAAAAACGTGGAGTGTCYGAGAAGTATCCTTACGTGACACGTGGAGTATTACGTGAAACGTTGAAACGCTAAGGACGCCGTTCACGTCGTTACGTGACGGATGTATTTTTATTTAATCTTGTAATCTTCTGAAGAAATAAACACGGGTAACATAATGATTTCATGACTTTGTGGTGGTTTAGAAAAACCAGTATTTTGTSACGGTAAGCCGTCACAATTTCTTGTGTGACACACGTGGTTAGTGTGGGATTTGTTAATTCTAGAAAATTTTCCCTAATCTTATCCCTCAACTAATTTTGTTGGATTAAAGTTGTTGAATTCATTGTGTTTTGGTTCAGTTATCCCAATAAAATACAATAGCCCATAAAAATATACCGTGTTTACAAACATCCAAGATTGGCAGGCAAGTACATGCAAGTTCAAGGTTACCCAAAATACATTTTCATGGTTTCTTTGTAAAAATCCCCTATGTTAACATTCTTGTCTTACATTTTGATACTGCTTTTTTATCTTTAACTTGTCTGGGTTACATTCTAGTACAAAAACTACGTTATATCTGTTCGTATTTGTGGAGCTATTTGCAAAACATTCAGCCAAGGGAAAAAACACATGTTACGATGGCTATTTCCGGATCCGGTTTGTCGATCTCTAGACGTATTCCGGTTCGACCAGTTTTGGGGCTTCGTAACCACGCGACCGAAATCCGATGTTCTGATTGGTTTAGCGGCTGTCAATCAAGCTAAAATTCTGTTGTTTGCGTTATTTGGATAGGAAAAAATTATCAGGTTTGTGTTCCAGAAAAACACGAAATTTTTGCTCACTTCATCGTTTCATCCTCCATTTTTAGGGCGATTCGTGAACAAGTGCAAATGCTGAGCTCTAAATATGAAGTTTACAGTCTTAGAAAGCAGTGGAAGATCGCATGAGTTTGTATTTACACGGGAAAAGCTTGGGCAAGAGGTTTTGGATCGAGTAAGCTTCTTTCTTTTGCGATAATCAGCTGTTTTTCGATCGTCCGTTTGACAAAGAAGATTCAAATTGACTGACTCCCTTTTCTCTTTCTTTTTCATAGGTTTGTGATGAGTTAGGGATCAAAGAAAAGAATTACTTTGGCCTTAAATATCATGTCAACGATACTAGTGTTTGGCTGAATCTTAGAAATCCAGTCCTGACTCAGCTTAGACCACATCTCACCGGAAAACATCATCGGCTTCGCCTTGAAGTAAAGTTCTTCGTGGACCCGCAAGAACTACAGCAAGAAGAAACAAGGTAAAGCTCTCGTTTGATGTCGTTTACTCATCATAAATAGCTAGAAGTTGTAGTTGTCATTTCCTTTATCGAGATCGAACATCTCCATTGTTTAACACTGTCTCTCTTCTCAAATTTCAGGAGGCACTTCTACTTCTGCCTCAAGTCACAAATCTCAGAAGGAAAGTTCAACTTTACATGGGAGCGGGCAGTACGATTATGTGCGTTGATGGCTCAAACAGAATACGGGGACTACAGCCACAAGAACAAGCGTTATCCTGAATTTCAGTCGCCCTGGCCTCGCGAGTTGATGGACGAAGAAGTGGCCAAAGCTCACGAGGGTTTGAGAGGTACCCCTACCACTACTGCTCGGGACATCTTCTTGAGTGAGATGGCAAAGGAAGATCTTTATGATGCAGAAACATTTAAAGCTAAAGCTGGTGGCCAGAAGGTTGTAGTGGCCGTAGGAAGYACAGGACTWAAGGTTTTTGAGAGAAAGTCTCATGGACAGCTCAAGCAGACGTAAGTAATTTTTGATTTTATTGAAGTTTACATGTAAGTTAATAGCACAATTTTTATCTGCTTCTTTAAGGTTTAAAGTTTTRTCACAATCACCGGTTAAGAATATAAAGCTATCTATTATTTCTGAAATGTTATCTTGTTGCTTTGATCTAATTTAAGCTTTGTTGACCCAAAGTGATTTTCAGCTAATATAAAGTTTCAACTGTGCATTGTCTTTTGCCTTACAGTATGTACATTTCCATCACGTCTGTCACACTTGACTGGCTTTTTTGACATTGACATACAAAATAAAGTACTGTGATTCGTCGAAAAAGCGTGGCCTTATGTTTATTATTTAAGTTTTTACTAGTTGCTGTCTTTCGTGACTTA